TCCTCAGTTTAGCTGCAAGGATGCTTTGGGAGACGGTGTCAAATGCTTTACTGAAATAAAGGTAGACCACATCCACTGCCCTACCAGCACCTATCCACCTGGTTATGTCCTCATAAAAGGCTACCAGGTTGGTCAAACATGACTTCCCCTTGGTAAAACCAAGTACTGTTCCTAATGACCCTCTTATCCTTGATATGCCTGAAGACAGCACCAAGGATAAGCTGTTCCATCACTTTTCCAGGAATGGAAGTGAGGCTGTCTGGTCTGTAGTTACCCAGGTCCTCCTTCTTGCCCTGAAGACTGGAGTGAGGTTTGCTTTTCTCCAGTCCTCAGGCACCTCTCCTGTTGCCCAGGATTTACCAAAGATGATGGAGAGTGGCCTAGCAATGACTCCCTCCAGCTTCTTGACTTCCTGCGGGTTCATCCCATCAGGGCCCATGGCTTTAGGACTGTCCAGATTGCTTAATTGATCCCTAGCCCGGTCTGCATCAACCAAGTCAAACTCCTCCTTTATCCTGACTTCCTCTGGTATCTCAGAGGTCTGGGGCTCCTGAGGACCGTCTCCAGCAGTGTAGACAGAGGCAAAGAAGGCATTCAGTAATTCTGCCTTCTTAGTATCCTGTGTCACCAGGGTACCCACCTCATTCAGCAGCAGGTCTACATTGTATTAGTTTGTCTGCAATGTATTTGAAGAAGCCGTTTCTGTTGTCCTTCACCTTGAGGTAGCTCTCAAGGGACTCTGCCAACCAAGTCCCTAAACAGGCCCAGGTCTGCCCACCAGAAGTCCAAAGTGGCAGTTCTGATAGCCCGCCTCCTTGCTTCTCCAAGGATTGAAAACTCTACCATTTCATGGTCACTATGCCCAAGACAGCCTCCAACCATCACATCCCTCACAAGACCTTCTCTGTTTGCACACAGCAGGTCCAGCGGAGCACCTTCCCGTGTGGGTCCTTCACCAGCTGTGTCAGGAAGTGATCTCCCACACACTCCAGAAACCTTTAGGGCCGTTCCCTCTCTGCTGTGTTGTATTTCCAGCAGATATCTGGGAAGTTGAAGTCCCTACAAGTACAAGGGGAAGCAATCACGAGGCTTCTCCCAGCTGCCTATGGAATATTTTATCTATTTCTTCATCCTGGTTAGGTGGTCCATAACAAACTCCCACCATGATCTCTGACTTGTTGGCCTTCCCCTTGGTTCTCACCCATAGGCACTCGACCCTGTTGTCGCTGTCGCTAATCTCTAGGCAGTCATAGCACTCCCTAACATACCTGGCCACCCCGCCACCTCTCCTTCCTTGCCTATAGCTTATACCCATGTATGGCAGCACTCCAGTTGTGTGACTAATTCCACCATGTTTCCATGATAGCTGCTATATAATAGCTGCTATATCATAGTTATTCTGATGCACAATGGCTTCCAGTTCCTCCTGTTTATTGCCCATGCTGTGTGCATTGGTGTAAACACACTTCAGTTGGGCTAAAGGCCCTGCCACCTTTTCACAGGGAGAAGTCCTAATTTCTGCAGGGCCATATTCAAGCACTTCCATGGATGCTAACCTATCAGTAACCCTTGCACCTTGGTTGCTTTATGGAACTCCATGCCCTCCCTCCACTGGGATGGTAGTCTGAAGAGTCTCGCTAGAGCACCGTCCCTCAAATGTCAACGCTTCACCCACAGGCTCATTTCTAGTGAGTTGTGTTACATCCCCTTCACCTCCCCCCCTTCAAATCTAGTTTAAAGCTCTGTCTGCAAGCCCTGCTAACTCTTGCCCCAGGATCCTTTTCCCCCTTTGAGATAGATGTACCCCATCTGTTGCCATCAAAGCTGGTGAAGTGTAAATTGATCCATGTTTGAAAAAACTGAAGTCCTGCCTGTGGCACCAGTCTCTGAGTCAGGCATTGATCTGCTGACTCTTTCTGTTTATCGCCTCAGATCTCCCTGCAACTGGTGGGATTGAAGAGAACACTACTTCTTCTCCTGATCCCTTAACCAGCCATCCCAAGCCCTTGAAATACCTCTTCATTGCTCTCAAACTACTTGCTGTAATCTCATCACTGCCTACCTGAAAGACCACCATCAGGTAGTAGTCAGAGGGTTTAACTAGGGTAGGAAGTTTTCTCTGAATGTCCTTGACCCTGGCTCCTGGGAGGCAGCAGACATCCCTGAAGAATGGGTCTCATCTGCAAATGGGATCTTCCACTCCCTTCAGAAGCAAGTACCCTATGACAAGAACCAGTCTGTTTTTCTTACTTGAAACTGTTTTTATGCATGGCTTCATCTGATTGAGCCTTGGTGGTGCCTCTGAGCTAGTTGAGTTGCCTTCTATAGCTTTATATTCCACTGTAAGCAAGTTGCAGCTCTTGTGATGGATTTAGATTAACTTTACAGGCAGTTCATGAGTCCACTAAACAAGTATTGAGTATATTGTCATAGGATTAGCTGTTCAGCCATCATGAAGAGCAGAAAATGTAATGTGTCCTGTTTTGCTAGTGCCCCATGGTGGTGGGATTACTGAAAAGAATAGAAAGGTTTTGTCCCACTGGATTTTCTTACAAGGTTCATCTAGTATAAAAATATGTAGCGTTGCCTATACTAGCATGTACACATGCAGGCTTTTAGACTCAGTCTCATGACCTAGATTTGTGTTTGCTCAAGCCTGAATGAACCAGTTAAGAAATATCTCCAGGGAGACAGACCTCTACTAAATCATAGCAGAGCTTTGTGTTTCACCGTAGCACTGGCAGTGGCAACTTTCCTTTAACTGGGTGGGCATAGTCCGTATTTGACAGTGTCAGAGTTAACTGTTCCACATTTGCTTAGTTTAGAAATGCAGATATTTTTGGATTATGTATTAATTCAAATATTCTGTGAGCAAGGATGTGAAATGGTAGGCAAAGAATTGTTTGTATGCTCATAGCATTAAGCAGAGATAATGTTAAGCTGAGATTTTGTATTCTTTCTTTGCTTAGCAGTGCAGTTCAAAATATACAGATACGGTCATGGCCCTATCAGCTGTCAGACACCACAGACGTTAGGGTAGGAATGGTACAAGTTAAGCCAGGTGGGTATGTGAATGATCAGTGAGGTCAGTGTTCACTAACTGCTCTCCCCTCTAAATCTCATTTCTCCCGTGCATCTGGTAAGCCATTCTTCCACTGTTTTATTGTATGTTTTTAGTTTGGTAATAGTTGATTCCTGTGGAAAGTACGTGATACAAACTTCTGTCCTCATCAATTTTCAGTGGTGCAGCCTTTTACCCTGGGTTACTTGTGTCTTGAGAGTCTTTGTTAGAACTGTCTTCTGAGCTTAATCTTTCTGGGGCCATTCTGGATGGTCAAAAACTGTTCCAATCTGTGATTTCCTGGGATATTTTTGCTTTTGTAATGCTCTGAGTTCTGCCTGTATATGAATGATGAAGTCCTAAACTGAACCCAATTATGGTGAATCTCTATGGAAATATTTTAGAAATTTTTTTCCTTGCATGTATTTTGTGCTGCTGCAATACTGACCAACTACTTCTGGAATGTAAAGACCTCTTTTGGATGAGTTTTAGGAAGTAGTGTTTTGTCATAGGGAGAGATCTTCATTTATTCATCGGATCTCTACCTAGGATGTTTGGTACAAAATACAAATTGGTATTTTTATCAGACACTGGTAGATTAGGAAAGGATTGAGATGTGTGCATTAGTGTTTCTTGTAGGTTTTTTCGCTCATTCACCCCTTTTCCTTTGTGATCATATCTAGCATTTCATATTGGTAGTGAGTGGTCTTGGAAGCACTAAAAAAATCTGAAGTCAGATAATTTGCTTTTGAGAGGCAGATGGACAGGCTGCCACAAAAATACGAGTGGAGGGTGACATCTTAGAGCCAAAGCTGCTCCTAAATGTTACCGGTAAAGAAATTATTTGTCTGCTGTCTAGCACTCTTAGAGGAGTGCAATCACACAGCTAGGTATATTGGTGTATTGATGAACCGTAAGCAGTGGCTCTTTTCTGTTTCTTGAAGTGTTCTTCAAGTTCTGTGTATCTGGACTGTAAAAAAATGCACAACTGGTGTTTAAGTTTAACTACTGAATTTGTCATACTCAAATTAGCAGCAGCAGTAGTCCATAGAATCTCATATCTTCCTATTTAAAATAGACATACTTGAATTTATGCAGAAAGAATTTGGGGATTCTGGTAGATTCTCTATGTAAGCAGAAAGGACTTCAGTTCTGAAGAGTTCTTGGAGATCACTGTGGAAAGTCTAATGACAGAAGAGTGGTTTGGACTGTTATGACAGCAAGGGAAGACACTTCAGACAAAACCCAGACTATCTGCAAAGTGAAACAAAACCAAAAGCATCTGTAGCTTCTTATTTCTGTAGACAAACGCTGTCAAATTCAGTGAAGTTTATGAAGTAGAAGTGATAGGAAAAAAATACCTCATTCTTGTCTCTCTGGGTAGCAGCACAACAGGGTAAAAAGATCTAGCATATCTATGTGGAGACTTGAAAAATGCCACAACACAGTATTGCACTCTTTAGAATTTGCAGAAAGGAGAAGTTATATACCAAGAAATCCTGCTTTCATTCAAGTAGTTATTCTAAGTTGCTAGTTACCAGCTAATCTAAATGGCCTAATGGAAAGGTGTCGTGAGAGAAAAATAATTTTCTGTCAGTAGTAAATGTGTTGGTAATATAAACAATAAATGTATGGTTTTCCTGTGCACCACTTTGACATACCTCAGACAAAGTATCAGCCTTTAAGTATGTGTATGGAAGTGTTTGGAAAATTAATTTCCAGTACACCCAAAAAAGCGTGTTTTGGATAGTTTCTAGCTTGATGCTAATGAGACTTCATATAGAACTGCATTTAAGTACATATAATTCTACTGACCATGTTCCCTTTTTTTTAAAAGGCAAGTTGAGTGTACTAAAGCATTACATGAACAATTCTAAGCAATAATGCCATTACTGCTTTTTCAGATACTTTAGCAGGAACTTGAAAGCGACTTGACACCATGGTAGCTCTATCCTTGAAGATCTGTGTCCGCCAATGCAATGTGGTGAAGACGATGCAGTTTGAACCATCCACTGCAGTGTATGATGCCTGCAGAGTTATTCGTGAACGCGTGCCAGAGGCTCAAACAGGGCAAGGTAGGTTCCTGTATCTGTCCTCAGTCAATTTGTTGGCTGAATTGAAAATAAACTTACACCCATCATTTTTTTTATGCTGTTTTATTCCTCCATTTATCTTTCAGGTTGAGGGGGTTGGGAGTTTTTTATTGTTTAAATCATAAGGCTCTGTAGTGAAATGCAAGTAGTGCAAACAGATTTTTAGATAGTTGGAGGTAGCTGCATTGTTTTCCTTCCTTCCATCCTGACACGGATTTTTATACAAAAGATACTATTTGTGTGAAACTTTGGCTTCTTAAATCATTTGCTTGTTTGCCTGAAAGATGATTTTTTCCCTACTTAAAGGGCAATTTTTGTGGTACCATCTTTTTAAAGCGGTATCTGTGGCAATGCATTCTAGGAAAATCTGGGCAAATTTACTTTGTGCCTCAGCAAAGGAAGGGACAATATGAATTATAAAAGAATGGCTGGGCATCTCCAGAATGTGAAAGGCAAACTTTTGAAACTGGTTAAGTAAAAGCATCATCATGCTGTGCATACCATATTCAGAGCACTGCTACGCGTTTGCCAAATTTAACTGACTCCATACTTATTGAGCAAATTAGATGAATGCAAACTGTGAAATATGTCTTCACTTGGACAAAAACTCTGGTTTAAATGTAGTCAAAGTTGTCAAAAAATTCAAGTTCTTCAGAATCCTTTGGTGCTGTACTGTATATAATGCCAGTGGACTGTAATTCTTAAAACAGATTGTGTGTTCAGTTTTATGCACAACTCTCAACCTCTAGAGCTGTTTAGAAATTTTCATCTGAACTGTGAGAAAAACTTAACCGTAATGGGCAATATTACTGTTTCTTAGAAATGCTTCTCCTTTGCAGGAGTCCTTAGGAAGCCTAGTTATACAGCTTCAATTTCTCAGATACAAGCTGTGAACTTTTACCATACTGATCTCTCAAGGCAGTTATTTTGAATAGCTGTTGAATTTAGAGAAGTTGAGAAATATCTCTGAACATCATGAACCTCATAGACAAGCCTAGAAACTCCCTTCAGATTGTGCACTAGAGCTTTTCTTTTGTATGTGATTGCAGTGCAATTATGAACTTCCAACCACTTTATGAAATTGAACGATGAGCAGAAATAAGGTTACTAACACATCCTTTCCAAGTCTTTGTGGCTGTTACCATGTGTGTTTGCCTGTCAGTTCAGAAGACTGACAGAGGTGCAGTACAAACCGATCAAACTAGTTCCTGCACAACAGAAAATGTGCTTGTCCTGCATTATGACTGTCAACTGTGCACATTTCATTTCTCTGGCAAGCTTGTATGCTGGCACAGAGGCCGTGACGCTAACATGCAAGTTGCACAGCTACTACTGGTACTAGGATGCATCCCCCAGAAATTAATATCAGAGCAATCTGTGCTTCCTTGGCAATTCTGTGCAACATGCTTTGCGTGTTTCTAAAAGTCACAACCTATTTATAGGCACAAATTCTAAAATTTTACATAACTGATTCTATACTGAGTTTGTCATAAACATCTCTGTACATACGGATCACTTGGCTTTTCAGTGGAATTTTTAATTGAGGTCGGCAGGAAAAGTTTTTTCTTAGTTGTTTTTGGAAGTATTCTTCCTTTGAAATGGTGTATCTGTAAGCCTGTGTCTGTAGTTACATTTCTATTAATTCATTTAAGCTCTTTTATGTACTTACATGAGTAACAATGTGTTCAATGTAAATTGTTGCTACCTGTGACATGTGAAGATGAAACATTGTCTAAAAATTGTAGCTATTTTTACTTTACTTTCTGATCGGAGGATTGGAACACACAGGTCTGACAGTAAACAAGGTAACCTGCCTGCACCCAGCTTTTTAACAGTCTGTGCATGCAGCGGGCCAGCTTGTGTGAAAAAGGCCTTAGCTTAAACTAGGACTGCAATTAAAGCAGGCTTAGCTGATGAACAGTGTGTGACAGTGAAGTGTACTCTCTGTCAATTCTTCATGCAAATGTTTATCAAGAAGAGATGCTTTGTATAGCCCTAAGTTGATAGTCATGGTCCTTCATTTTGTATACTTGCAGTTTAGCCTTTCAAGCCTCAGACTGGGTTTGTTCTTCTATGGTAACTTTATCCCTTGTGATTCTGAAAGAATCAATTGGCATGTGTTTAGCCTGCAACAGATGCAAGTTTTTCCTGGGAATGTTGTCATGGATATAGTTCTAGAAGCCTTGTATTTTCTTAAATCCCTGAACCTGAAACATCTGCCAAAGTAGATTCCAAAGTTTAGTATGAACTCAGTATGTGAAGAGTTGAAAACAAGCTATAGATTTTAGAAATAGGGTTAAGGCCAAACTGCTTGTATTTTTGGTTAGTCAAATCCAAAGCAGGACCTATGAGCATTTTAAAAAGGTTGTCTTGAAGAGAAATAATTACAAGCATAATACAAATTACATGGTAGATGTGACATGTTCTTGTTTAGTGACACTTTTGTGCAAGTTTTCTATAAAGCCTGATCTACCCTGTCTGCTGTTAAGCTAAATGTTTCATGGAGCACAGAAAAAAAATAACCATCAAAGTTCATTAAGAATGGAAGGTAAGCGTAAAGGAAGCTTAACCCTGAAGCTGAATAACTTTGAGTAAAACAATATTGTCTTTATTAGGTTTGATGTTTTTCAGTGAGTTTCTGTTTCTTCTGTTCCACAGCCTCTGACTATGGATTGTTTCTATCAGATGAAGATCCTCGAAAAGGTATATGGCTGGAGGCTGGAAGAACACTGGATTATTATATGCTGAGAAATGGGGTATGGTGCATGTCTGTTGCTGTTTTAATCAACATGTTTTTAGAAAACTTGTTTCCCTTGTAGCAGGAAGGCTGTTTGGCATTTGGAGGGTTAGGAGAATCTCGAGTCAGTCCCTGAAACTGGCCCACTTCTTTTCCTTGCTGTGCTTCAGTAGTTAGGTTGGTTTTTTTTCACAACCTGCCTCTGGTTGTTCTCTGTGAGCTACTGTGGCCAATAATGTCTTGACAGAATGGTTAACAAAGATAAAAAGTAAGTTTTGTAATAAGCTTTATGTTTGGGCTGACCTTGCATTATAGTATAGGTTTCTCATACACTAAAGATGATGAGATTGTACCCGCTCACATTATGGCCAGCTTGCTTACAACCAAAAGGCATTGTTATCCTTTTTAAATGCTAGACTAGTTTTTGCAACGCAAAGGTACTTTGGTCTATCCTGCCCTGTCTACCTTTTGGTCTTGACAACTAGGACATGTTCTTGAAAAATTACATTGCCAGAACTAAAACAAGCCACTTCTCAAATTGTCACATGAATAAGTTTGCACTATACTATAGCTATAAAAGAAAAATCCAGCCTGGGATATGGGGAGGGAATCCTGTTTTAGGCATCTAAGATAGTGGGTTGGCTTGTGGTGGCTTCCAAAAGCATTTAGAAACAGTGTTGTTGACTTCCTAGGATATACTGGAGTACAAAAAGAAGCAGAGGCCTCAGAAAATACGTATGTTGGATGGTTCAGTGAAAACAGTCATGGTGGATGACTCTAAAACAGTTGGTGAATTGCTGGTTACCATTTGCAGCAGGATAGGTAAGATTTTGAGACTCGCATACTTAAGACTTTGTTTTTCCTGCTCTAGTTGCATCTGATTTTTAGCATGTGTTAATGTCTAGGAATTGGCACATATCTAGAAAATTATTTAAATTTATTAGCTAACATTTACCAAAGACTTTTTGAAATCCGTTGCCCAGGTTTTATGTAAGTTGACAGATAGTTACCTACATCCTTAAACTTCAGTATTTAGCAGTTGAAGGCACAAAGTTATCTGAGATTACAGTTATAATTTTTTTTATTATGTTATATTTTATGTACACTTTCCTGCTGTGTGGGAGAGAATTAGAAGTAAATTTATACTTGATTTTAATGGAATAAATTAAATGGATAAATATCTTTAATCTTGAAATATACCTAAACTTAAGGTGCTATGTTGTTATGACTGAGAGTTGATCACTGTACAGTATAATTTGTGAAATTACATATGGTAGCATTCCAAAGCAGCTGGTCAAAAATGTGTCATATTGATTATAGTCTGTCTTTCTGTTTATCTAAATAGAGACATTGTGGAAAATGTATTCTTATTTAACCATATAAACATGCATCCAACATAGATTAGTTTAAACCATCTTCAACCCTTGCATAATTCTCATTTAGAATTAAAGTGGCCTTAATTTGATTTAGATTCATTTACTTGGAAAATTAATTAAGCTAAGTTTAAATTAATCCATTTCAATTTTGCTTGAATGTTTCTATGCTGGATTCTAATGTGCTGTATCTAATTGACTTGAAAAATTACTTTGACTTATTTTCATGGCTGTGGTTATGTAGGTGAGCATTTAATTTGCTTTCCTGTATAATATAAACATGCTTTACCATACAGAGGAAAAAAACGAAGCGGAACGAAGAAATGAGAGAAACTCAGCACATATGCTAAATGTTGTGAACTGTGTTTTTTAAATTTAGTTTCATGTAAAATTCATAGGAAGAGTTGAGTTATGAAACTCAGAAAATCATACTTTTCATGTGGTTTCTGTTCCTCAGTCTGCCACGTTTCTTCTACACATCATGGGCAAGCTGAAATTACTCAGCTTTCAGAAAGCAATTGTAGGTATCCATGAAAAGAAATTCACTGTAGTGTGTCTTCGTTACAGAATTTACTGCTATTTTAAATTCTGTTGTGTTTTTAAACTGGCAGCTTCTTTTGGTAGATAAGAAACCTTAATATATTTCTCCAAGTGTGAAGTGCAGCATATGGTGAAGGAATGATGTATCTGAAGGATAATGCCGGATATTGGAGAGATGTCTTGGATGCAGAAGCTGTGTATTATTCTTGAGATTCCTTCCCTGTACAGTGTTTTAGCATTTCATCTGGAATATCTTTAGTATACTTGAAATTAACCATTGGTATTTTAATATGTGGAAAATACACCTCTGTGTAGTAATTTTTTATTGTTACAAACACTAGATTTATTTATAATTCCAGGAATAACAAATTATGAGGAATATTCCTTAATTCAGGAGAGCATTGAAGAGAAGAAAGAGGAGAGCACAGGAACACTTAAGAAAGATAGGACATTGTTGCGTGACGAAAGAAAAATGGAAAAACTGAAGGCAAAGCTTCATACAGATGATGATTGTGAGTAGAGTATTCCAGGATAATTCCTTGATTGCTCTCTTTCCACAGTATACTGCGGGAAAACCCTACAGGAATGCATTTTTAATTTTTTCACTGTGTCTCATCTCTGCCTGTGTTTTTGCATCCGTTGTTACATTATGTCATCTCCTACTGAGTATTTTAAAAATTGGGTAAACGGACAAGTTGTTGCCCCTGGCTATGAGACTCAGTGGATCTTTTAAAGTGGTTTTTGTTACTTTTTTAGTAGGTAAATTTTAACTAAAGTATGAAGGGTCATTTCCATCATGACCATTTTATCCTCTTCACTAAGGTAGACTTTATCATATTGAATATGATTGTTATTTTTTATACATATTTATTATATTGATGCCTACTGAAAGCCATTAAAAATTAATTTTGTCTTCAATAGAAGAAATTTTAAGTGTAAACGGAGTTTGCCAAAGAATTAAGACAGTATTTGATTTGTTTTATGTATAAAGTCAAGAGAATATTTTTTTCTGCTTTACGTTAAGGCACTAAGATTAACTGTGACTGCAGGAAAATGTTTTAAAATTGTATTCAGGGATAAGAAAAGTAAACAGAACAGTTGTTTTTAGGGGGAAAACATGGTAAACTGGTAAGCAATTTTGTGATGAAGCTTTGAAGATCAGTATTTAGTATTAAA